AGTAATGCACTTGTTACTAGTAGCGATGCACTTGTTAAGAGTAGCTTATTGTTACTAGTAGTAGTGCACTTGTTACTAGTAGCGATGCACTTGTTGCTAGTAGTTTCTTGTTACTAGTAGTAATGCACTTGTTATTAGTAGCGACGCACTTGTTACTAGTAGCGATGCACGTGTTACTAGTAGTTTCTTGTTGCTAGTAGTAATGCACTTGGTACTATGCACTTGTTGCTAGTAGTTTCTTGTTACTAGTAGTAATGCACGTGTTACTAGTAGCAATGCACTTGCTATTAGTACCTACAGTAACTGTTTATAGCCAAATCGAGCCGGCCTTTGAATCATTCTGAATCCACCCACCAGAAGCTGGAAGTGGCCACAGCTCAGCTGAGCGGAGGTGAGTTCTGTATCGTCGATTCAACACACGTCTCGATTCATGGAAAACTGCACTTGGACCCTTCTGATCTTTCTTGGACCCTTGGATTCCAAAGGAATGCAAGGGTCAAAAGGCATTTGCAAAAGAATAGCACGGTTTGTAATCCTCTGCTCCATTCTGCTCATCTCGTTTTTGGTATAAAGGTCCCATCCTGCAATCACACAAAATGTATATCAATGCTTTGGGGCCTCAGCTTCCATTGAGCAGAACTGGATTTACATTGACATACAGAACACAAAAAGGGTCTTTGTTGCATGGCTGGAAGCAGGTGCTGGTCTACCTCATGGTCACAGTAGCAAAGGGTTATATAATTATGTGGAGTTTCCTAGAATTCTCTGGAGCCTACTAAGTTTTGTCTCGACCCTTTTAAACCACCTGAAACCACTGGCAGAACGACGTCCACTCCACGCCAGATCATCCCAGTCCACTTCTCCTCCCAACCGAGATCTTTGTCAGTCCCATCCATGGCGCCAAACCCGCTGCGTGTGATGCGTGTGATGCAGAGCTGTCAGATGTGCTGAGCTGTTAGATGTTGGAAGTGATTTCGGCTTGAATGACCAGTCTGGTGGGTCATTGAGATTCACGACTCTGACAATGTCATGCCGCATGATTCTGTCAATGTCAAGTCGCTTTTCGCTGCGGCGCGAAAAGCGAAGCGGCGCAGTCCATGAGTCCTTGCACAATGCTTGTCTATGACTCCATGTTCTCTGACATTGAATCCATGTAGTTTTTGGTCTCTCTCTGTCAATGCGGCACACAGTCCATGCGGATGGTGCATTCGGCTCCTGACGCGTCTGGGACAGAACATGCCAGGGTGCCATGTGAAGACCACTGCAACGCGAGCGGGGCAAACCTTGTCGAACCTGTGCTATGTTGGCACCCACGTCGCACAGAACCGGGCAAGGTGCAACTCAAGGCCATCAACACGAGATATGGAAAAAAAACACTTGATCTATCACAAACTGCCGAGCCAGCTCAAAACCACTTGTGCTCAAACTTACCTTGCCCAGTATTCTGCAGCTCTTGCTAGCGTTTTCAAGAAGTAAGTAGGTTGGAAACCTTGGCCACATCACCATCATTGGCAATCAGCAAGTCTCTGATCACCTCCCATGGCAGGCAAATCTGTTCTGGTCTGTTTGGCAGACTGGCACCAGAACCATGGATGCCCTCTCCCCACCCCACTGGCAGTCTATCTACTTGCAGTCACTGTACGCAGCTCACCTCTTCGCTGGCGAGTTGGAGCTCCAACAATTGGAGCACCTTGGCCTCCAGCCTCGGTCGGTCGGACCAACCGCCTCCGCTTCTTCCGTCGTAGTTTTCCGCGGAGTCCGCTGACGCAACGGTGCACGAGTCGGCGAGTTTCACTCTTTGAAACCAACGAGTCCGTTGAAACCAATGAGGGAACCGGAGGCAACATCTAAGGGTTGTGTAAGAGATGTGGGTCACCAGGATCACTTGATTGATTGACTGCTTGGTTCCCTCGCGGCCAGAGGTCGTTGACCCATCCCCACATGTAGAGACATCTAGCCCGCTGAACATCTGGGGTCGCTGACTCATCCTCGGACATGGCTGCCGTGGCTGCTGGCGGCTCCACATGATTCTGCCCGTGCTCTCCACGGTTGCCTTTGCACTTGCCCTGGCCAGCCCATTGGCTAAAATCCTGCAACCAAAGGAAAGCACGACTACAGAGTACTACAGAGCTACATGTACTTGTCACGAATGGCAAATTGGACGATTGGGTCAAACGGGCTGAGAAATTGAGATCTGGTCCTTTGCGAACCAAAAGGCTATTTGGCCAAACGCTCAATCAAAAGAGCAAGGGCACATGTACCATAAAGAATATGCCATGGCACAGCAAAAACCCTTACAGATCGGCGTTAAAATGACGGGTGAAGCGTCAGACCTCACATTTTATAGGTATAAATCTGGGGGTGCAGCAAGAATTCTTACAAAATACCAAGGCGCAGCAAAAAATCCCAGGAATACAAATGACAGGGCCAACATGCATTTTTGGGGTCCGCTAAGCCCCATCAACCTATAGAAAATGTTGGGTCAAACATTGAAAGTGCTGTGCCCTTCGTTGTTGTAAGAAAGTAAGGTGACTCATTTTGTAAGGAAGCTGACCTCATTTTGTAAGGCAGCTCTTTTTCTGCAGCAGCTTAATCCAAGCCCCTGTTCAGTGCTAGCAGCTGTTTGGTGCTACCACTTTTTTACTGGGATCCCTATGTTTCAAAAAAGCGCCTTCTCTTTTCGAGCTTACCTCGTCCATCCTGAGTCCATCCTTAGGCACAATACCTTAGGCCAAAAAGATTGGGCTTTTTCTAAATGAGTTTACCTCGTTGTTAAACTTCCATCACGTCGCCCCAAACAGGACCTTTGCAAAATGCATTTGCCGATCTCCCCATGATCTCGCAGAAAGTAGTCCTTGTCCAAAGTATCTCCGACAAGTTGATTTTACACTAGTTAAGAGCTGGTATCCGCAAAAATTGTCTAACCATCTTGGTCTATTATAAACTGCCCTCTGGGAAAGTCATTTTGTAAGAGAACGAGTGGACCATTATATATAAAGGGGCTTTGGAACTCCTATTTCACGTGGATATTTTCCTTACAAAATGGCTGTTTCTTACAAAATGGAATGGTACATCTATGTTTGACGTTCCTTATAAAATGCTTTCTGCATCCAACAAGGAGCCAGAATGATAGGCATCATAGACTCTTACAAAGTGACATTGGTCCTAAGAAAAAACTTCTTATCAAGTGACCCTCCAGACGGGGGGTTCTCCGAGAGGTTCATGTCTCCGAGAGGTTCATGTCAAGTTTTCGATGTCGCTGGATGTTCGGGGTGGTGGGGGTTGGGGGGGGTGGGGGCGGGGGGCATTAGCACACGAACATGGTTTGATGTTATGGTTCTTTCACGTTAAGTTGATGTTCATTTGCAAACACGTTTCATGCTCTGTTTCTTTCATATTAAGTTCATGTTCATTTGCACCCGCGTTTGATGTTATGTTTCTTTCATGTTAAGTTGATGTTCATTTGCACGCGCGTTTGATGTTATGTTTCTTTCATGTGAAGTTGATGTTCATTTGCAAACACGTTTCATGCTCTGTTTCTTTCATGTTATATAACTTGATGTCCGTGTGGGGGGGTTTTGGATATGCTTCTTTTTTTTGGTCAAGGGCTGGTAAGTCCAGCTGCTTGCTTCCAGAAGCCTCTGTGGAAGTTGTGAGCAAAGGAGTTTGACATGGAGGATTGGGTGTGGAAAAACATTGTTTTCCAAGTCCAAACACCTTCTGAAGAGACATCAACACATCGAAAACAAGCAAAAATGGCCGACTATCAAGGTGTGCCTTTTGAACGATGTTCACAATGTAGTGGTTTTTACAGTAGAAAATGATGGTCAGTCATTTTGCATGGCGAAACCCATGGTTTTTCACACTTTTGGCAGGTTCGTAGGACAATGTCTCAAACCTGGAAACCTGCTCCTCAGGCAGTTTCACTCAGATCGGGTTTTGGAAACCAAAAACAGCATTGCGTGCAAAGTCAACTTGCGCGAACAAAAACGAAATATGTTCGCAATCTTGTACTTTTAAAAGAACCACGAGTCATGGCAAAACAAATGCCGAACCCCAGCAGGTTGAAGGTTCACTGCAGTTGTGACACCTTGAACAAATGATGCAGCTCGGGGAACCCCCCGTCTCCACCGTCAAGTGACATGATCTGATCTTATTACTCTAGCCATACGAGTACCTCTACAAAATGGGTACTCCAAAGTTCTTACAAAATGGGCACCCCTATTTCCCACGGTTTTCTTACAAAATGATAGGGGTACAACCCCATTTCTTACAAAATGATACCCTATAAATAGTTTATATAGGGCTTGGCCCCTCCCATTTCATAGTGGAAATTTTAACGATGCTCCTTACGGCAAGCAGAAACAAATTCTCGGGAGGGGGGAACCTCTCTCTGCATGCCTTTCTGCGAAGCAAGATGCCAAATCCCTCAAACCAACTGATTGGCTTGCTGTTCGTCTTTGCATCCCTACCAGTCCGTTTTCAACCAAATGTGTTACCCTGGTCCTTTCCATTGACCTCTATGGAAACCAGACCTCTTTTGGGGCACCAGACCCCACCGCTTCGTTCTTTCGTCCGTTCACCGCCACACCGTTCTCCTGGATACTGTGACACCGTCGATGTTGGATGAGTCGGGGCAAAGGGGGCAAGTGGAAAACTGTGGATGTTGAAGAATATCCACCACGCTTTTTGCTTCCTGTTTGGCTTCCTGGCTGCCGCCCTTTTGGACCATTGAAACCATTGGCTGCGTGAAGAGGCCAAGCAAGGTTGCTCGGTATGTCTCCATCAGCCCACTGAGTGGATACAGAGTTTGCTTCTCAACATGGAAGACCAAGGGCTCTGTGAACCTGGACCCGATTTTTGTCCGCCTCTTTCATTCAGAATTCAGCTCTGCAGGATGCTGATGGATGCTGCTTGTTCACGAGCATATGAAATGAAAATGAAATGAATGGATACAGGATGATACTGGTGGGATACTGCTGGATCTCTGTGTCTCAGTCGAGGCAGCCGAAGCCCAAAAGCCGTCGAACATGTGTCCGGCTTGTCTCTCTCGCCCGCGCAGTGTGGGTGTCTTCGACGGCAGATCGACCGGGCAATCGCGATCGATCGGTTTATATCGGAGGACCGTCCTCCAGCAATGGCAGTAAAGAAGCGGCCACTGCTTCACAGAAGCGCGCTTGCACCTGATGAATCAGCGGCTGTGTGGCTGTGAATTTCGGTTCATAGATGGTCACCGGACGCCTGCGGGCCAAGTTCCTGCAGAGCTTTCAGGAACTCAAGGAGAGCATCACCCAAGCGCCTCTCAAAGGATCCGACAACGAGAAGGACGTCTGGTGCTCTCATGTCCACGTGCGAGAAACTCCTCGCCTCTGGCCGTTGTCACCACTCAGAGCCTTCACAGTGTTGCTTCGAACATCTGGTCTTTCAACACAGCCGAGTCGAGGCGTTCCTACATAGGTCCTTTACATCAGCTGCCCCATGCACCGATGAGGCCCCATGCACCTACGCACCACTTACACCACCCGAATGAGGCCCCGGAATGAGGCCATCGGATTACGAACTGCCTGTTCCAAGCCAAGCCTCAGCAATCAAGGCTGCATGGGGTTCCAATCCTGGAGTCTTCGCGGCCTGCTCCTACCAGTGCAACATTAAGCTCTCAGATCAGCAGAAGTTGCTGCATGTCATCCTGAACAAGCCCATAGAAGTCCTGAATGATCTCCAGCATCTTTTGAAGGCTTGGGTCCAGCCCTTCTTGCGCCATGCGGTTGATCCTGGATGGTAGACTCTGCAGGTTTCCCCCAAACAATACTCAGAAGAGACTCACGGGGTACTCCATATCCTCTAGAAAATCTGCAGTCAAACAGCTTGAAACGTTGCTAAGTGATAGGCGTCTCCACCTTTTGAGCTGCGATTTGAGTCATGAAGGGAAGCCACTGCCTGGCAACAAGCGATTTGGATCCAACCATTGTTTGCCAAAGTTCTTCAAGCCAGACGGTGACGCACGGCCAGGGAGGAAAAGATCGCAGGTGCGAGGAAGCCAGATTCCTGTCCAGCTTTGGATGCTGCATGAGCTGCGACCAGCTGAAGCTGCCAGTTCTGACTTATGACTTTTTGAGCATCCGCAAAGTGCTTGACCCACCTTGAGCATCCGCAAAGTGCTGAGAAGTTTCCATGGATTGCCAGGGACAGGGCCTGGCACTTGCACTCTGCATTCTCAGCTTGCATCTTTCACACCTACAGCTCTGAAGAGAATTCCTCTGCACTATGTCAGGATCGTGATTTTTGCTGCCTTGGCCAAAAGGGGCTCCATCAGTGTCCTGGAGTTCGACACGCTGAAAAGGATGTTGGAACAGAAAAAAGCAAGTACTATGAAGAAAGTTAGGGGAGAAGATGTGCAACCAAGTTTTGCAAATGGTGAAGGATGTTGAGATTGCAGTAGCTTCAGCGCGGAGTTGGGAAGCATTGCCTTCCACAGTGTGTTGATTTGAGGAAGAACCAAAGCAAACGAGTCTCCTGCTTTTGCCCAGCAAATGCAGGTTCTTGCTGCCTGATTGACTAACCCTCAGAAATATTCCCCCAAAAGCACTATCATCTTAGCCGCTCACTCTCTCCCCGCATCAACAGTAGCAGCTGGCTCTGCTGGTTCTGCCCCAAAGCCGAACCAGCAGCCCTTCCAGTGCTTACCCTTGCACTTTCCACTGCCCTTTGTCCATGGGATGTCCTGACAACTTCTGAATAAATGATAATAAAAGGGACACGACTTGTCTCCCCGAAGAGCTCAACAAGTCGTCAAACACAAAACCTTAGCGACCGTCCTCATTGTCTGCGACACCAGGAAGAGGATCTGGAGACCTCCCAACGTAGGCATGTTTCAGAAAGATCAGCAAGTAAATGAGTGGAATGTGGCAACTCTTCTTAAATGTCTTTCTGAGCATCTGACGCTGCACTTGCAGCGGCTGCTGGCACATCCACTTTGCTTTCGTCTGAGGCATTGGGTTCGCAGCCTTTCCAGTGCTTGTGCTTGCCCTTGCACTTTCCCTTGCCCTTTCCCTTCCATGCCATTGGCCACTCCGTGATCTCCTGCGTCAAGAACAAGTCAAAAAAACCCTACAGAAAGAAATCGACACGGGCAGCGCTAGTGAGTGATTAGTCCTCCAGCAATGGCAGTAAAGAAGAAGCCACAGCTTCACAAAAGGGCGAGGTGACCTCAGACAGCGGCAGAGCCAGAATGCTTTTTTTGTCAGTTCACAGGTTCAAACCAGCCTGTGGGCCAAGTTCC